CCTATTTCGAATGTGAATAGAATACGGTTGGTCTTTCTCATTCTCTTGAATTCTAGCGTGCGGCCACTCAACGTCCGGATTCCGTGAAGGGAATAAGCAGAAAATGCTAAGACTTACCTTATCGGTGACCCAACCCAATGGGTCACCAGGAAAAAGACAAAAAAAAAGCAAAAAATAAAAATAAAAATAAAAAAGAAAAAGAGGGGATAATACGCGACCCAGGTCAGATGGTGACCTTGGGTCGCAACCGAGCGCAATACACTTTTTTTGCTTTCTTTTTTTTTGATTTTTTTTATTCTATTATTGCTCTTGAATTTGGACGCATGTTGCTTTCTTTTTTTTATTTTTTATTTTTCTAATTCAATTATTGGTAGTTAGATAAGGAATGGGACACATGTCTTTTTTTAATTGGAAGTCATAATTTTATTGTGATAAGATAAGATAACTTAATAATTGAGTTTATTTATATATTAAAAATAAAATAAAAAATATCAAAATTCGTATTTTTTCATTCTCTATAAATAGAGACCACTCTTGATATGTTTTAGATCACAACTGAAATTTCTCTCTTTTCACCCTCTTCTTAATCATACTTTATTAATTTTATCATCTCTTTTATTTCTCTTAATTTCCAACAAATACCATATGGATCCAAATTTTGAGTATTACCTCAATTCTCAAAGTTTGTCAAACTCTGAAAATTTCCAGAATTTCGAAAATTATTCACAAGAGCCATTTTCTCCTAATCTTACCCAATTTCCAGTTTCTGTAAATGCCCAACCCCCACAAAACATCTCTCGAAATCTATTTCAAAATGTGCAACAGACACGCACAAATCCTCAAAAAAGAACGAAAAATGTTCAATGTCTACTTCTCCGACAATCCAACCTATCCTGAAGAGGTATTCCGTCGGAGATTTCGCATGCGTAAGAATCTTTTTCTTCGTATAGTGAGCGAAATCACCACCAACGACGAATATTTTCAACAAAGGCGTGATGCCACTGGTAGGCTGGGCATTTCACCATTGCAAAAATGTACTGCAGCCATAAGGGTGTTAGCCTATGGAACATCAGCGGATGCTGTTGATGAATACTTGCGAATAAGTGAAGCTGTAATGAGGGAATCTCTCATGAAATTCGTAGAAGGCGTCATTTCTAACTTCGGTAGCCAATACCTCAGAAGGCCTAATGAACAAGATTTGGCAAGAATACTTCATGCGGGGGAGCAACGTGGATTCCCAGGAATGATGGGAAGTATTGACTGCATGCATTGGGGTTGGAAAAATTGTCCTACAGCATGGGCTGGGCAATATGCCGGAAGAAGTGGAAAACCAACAATTATTTTGGAAGCTGTTGCATCATATGACTTATGGATATGGCATGCATTTTTTGGAACACCAGGTTCGTGCAACGATATAAATGTACTTCACCAATCTCCTGTTTTTGATGATATTTTGGAAGGTCGTGCACCAGAAATTAGCTACGTTGTGAATGGTCAACAAAGAAATATGGGATATTACCTCACTGATGGTATATATCCTTCATGGGCTACATTTGTTAAATCAATTACTTCCCCCCAACTTCGAAAGCACAAATTGTTTGCTCAGCACCAAGAGACGGCTAGAAAAGATGTTGAGCGCGCATTTGGTATTCTACAAGCTCGTTTTGCATTTATCAAACGACCATGTCTAGTATCATCATGCACAATATGATAGTAGAAGATGAACGGGATGCCTACTTGAATTATTATGATCCTACAGAATTTATGAACGAGAGGCCTACAAACGGACGGAGGCAACAAAGAAGGAACAGAAGAAATGACGTAGAAGAAGAGGAAGATGATATGCCTTTTCAATACTCGACTGAAAGAATCACAAACCTATCTACGTATATGACCAATAGGTCACAACTCCGTAATAGAGAAGCTCACGTGACTTTGAAAAATGACTTGATTGAGCACATATGGGAAAAATTTGGCAATGGTAGTTGATGTGTAATTTCATTTGAAATGTTTGTAACTTGTTTAGTTTATTTCGTACCGAATTATGTAATTTCAATTTTTAATTATGTTTGTAATTTTTTTTTAGTTGTATTTTAAAATATTAATATTTTGAAATCAATATTTTTAATTATAATTTTTTTTATTAATTTATCACAACTAAAAAAATAACAAAAAATCTATTGTAGATAATATTTAATACATAAAAATAAAATAAATAGTATGTTGGGTTGGATTGGGTTGGGTTAGGGATAAAGATATGTAAGTTGTTAAAAGTTGGGTTATGTAGGTAGAGGAGAGAGAAATAATTTTTTATTATTGGGTTGGGTTGGGTTGGGTTGGGGATAAAGATAGTCTAAGGTCGAGCTGCTAGATACTGTCCCATTGACTGAACAATTAAAAATTTTAATGATACGACATACATCATATACGTTTGGAATTTTAATGAAATTTTAATTTTGTTTTTTAATTTTTAATACATTATATTAACTTAACATGATAAAATAAATAAATAATAAATTTTATTTAACAGAATAGATATTTGATATTTGAATACTTGACCGACATTTTCATCTAAAATCAAATGGTATAAAGAAAAGGTCAACAACGTAACTTTCGAGGCTTCCTATACTAAAGCTGCATTCTATTTAATATACTCACAAGAAAGGCTTATTTGCGCATGTATTGTAATGTTTGATCAACTCAATGATAAGAAAAGCTTATTTGCACAAAGATTGATTGATATCATCAGGGCAGATGCTCGTACCCACACACAAGACAAAACACCATTACATTACATCAAATTTCGTTCCAACCCAATACTCAAGACTGTTGATTTACTAACAAGAACCACTTACAAGTTACAAGAGTGCAAAATACCATAAATAGATCAAAAGAGTATATAATAAGAAATGATAAGACTTAGTTTTCCTTTTCAGATCACTTCAGCTCATGCCACAAACAAAACAAGGAATCAAAGGCATCATCATCAAAATCAACCTCAGCCATCTTTGAAACAGATATAAGTGCCTTCAACCACTCTTCATGCAATGTCGAAAAATTCTCCCTTTGCTCGCTCGACCTGAAGCTTTCTCTAACAATTTCCTTCATCACTTTTGCAGCTTCGGAAGCTGCTTCGATCACCGGGCCTGGAATCCGAGCCATGAGTGCTATCTGCATACCGTAGCTTTCTGGGCATGCTCCCGAGGCTAATTTGTACAGGAAAACTAACTTGCGATCAAGTTGTGATGGTGTGTTGTTAAAAGTCGAATCAAAAGCGTATGCCATATGTTGCAGTTTTACACGAGGATGGGCAGCAAACTCTTTCGTGAGAGGGTGATAGTGTGTGGCGAACAACAAACGACAGTTGACAGCCTCAACAAGATGACGGAATACCTGAATTATGAATATAATTCGTAAAAATTAAAACACGAAAGTTTATCAAGGCTATGTTTGGTAAAACTAGCTGATAAGCTAGCTATCTAGCTTATGACTTATAGCTGAAAAACTAGCTTTAGCTTATATGATAAAGGTGTTTGGTAAAATTAACTGATAAGCTGGCTGAAATAAAATTTTCAACGAGCATATTTGAAAAGCTAGCCAAGAAGCTTATGAGATAAGCTCGAGCTTTTTAAATAAGCTCGTCGTACCAAACAGAGCTTATTTGAATACAGGGAGCTTATAAGCTAACCAAATAAGCTATAAGCTAGCTTATTTATCTACCAAAGATAAGCCCAAATATCAGAACCAAAGAAGTTGATTAAAAGGAAGAAATGTTTTGCAACAAAAAGGAAGAAAGGGAAACTGCAAAGTTGATTAAAAATGCACCAATTTGACAGTCATGGAACAAAAAGCAGTATATCAAATATATTAAAATACACTGAAAAAAAAAAAGTCATCTTACAGCATATGCTATAGCATATCCGTCGAAAGTACTTGTTCCGCGACCCAATTCATCGAGCAGAACGAGTGAACTCTGTGTAGCATTTTGCAGAACTGATGCCGTCTCTTTGCATTCAATTAAAAATGTACCTACACAAAGAAGCTTTCTCTAATCACATAATGAAGATGAAGTTCCATTTTTCATCAGATGACTTTTGCTCTTAATATGTGTTTAGGGTAATCTTTCAGTGGAACACAAAAACAGCTTTCCATAAGAATCCTCAGTCTAACATGAAACATGCTGCTACCACTAGTAACACCCTGAGATGCAAGTATTTAGAAGTTCTATTAAAAAACAACGAAGAGCAACATTAACGCCTCAGTAATAGATAAACCACCGTAGGCAGCGGATTGAGGAGTTTCAAAGTACGAACAAGTAATTGGAAAGACTGATCATGCAATTACAATGAAAGTAAAAAGGGCATATACAGAACGCAACCTAGACTGTTGGCCTCTTAAATAGTATAGACTAGCAATTATCAACTCAACCATTCCTCAAGCACAATAATTTGCTTACAATGGTGCATGCTACGTGTTTTTTACATGATTATGAATAGAGATATACCAATAAAGATCAAATTCCAACTCACTGTCATACTCCTCTATAATATCACGTGTCAAGTCAATTATTTGATATATTCATATACAAATTTAACGCACGTGTTATACATGGTATTCATCCAATGATAAGTTCATAATAAAATTATTTGTAATGGCTACAAAATAAAAATCATCAACTTTATTTCAACCGTTATGACAGTGATATTGTCCCGTACCAATATATCATTTTCTTTCACAAATTATAATTTGATCATATATGCTAGACTTACTATGGCAACATTAATAAAATTTATTTTACATGTTTAGATTAAATTTAATATCGTTTCTTAATTACATAATTAGATTAGTAATAATACAATATTTAATGTGTATACTTTTGTAATTTGCTTTGAAATTTCTCAAATTAAAAAGATAAATTTTATAAAACTTTGCAGAAACAAAACTGCAAAGATTATTTCCCCATTAAGGTGATTAATCAAGACAAGTAACTAAGAATAGTTTCATAATAAGTATGTAAATTAAGAATATAAATCATAAAAGAATAAAATTTCACAAGATTTAACTATACTATGTTATGTTGAAAATAAGCTTAACATATTAAAGAATTATAATTAATAACAGAACTTATAGGGGGTTGACTCAGGCATACTGGCTTCTACATGCATGGACAAAATTCATGTTTATTAAAATAACTTACTCTCCCCAGTCATGATCCGATCCGTAGCACCCAGCCGAGTGAATATGATGTCCACGGTTGACAGAGTGCACTTTTCGCACGGCACATAACACCCTAGCTGCAGTACATAAACCAACGTTATAATCAAAGAGTAAATAATCCTCGAAGCCAGGAAAACAGTAAGTTTAAAACAGCACAGTCTAACCAGTTTTCAGCAACCAAAACAAACCTGAGCCAGTATTACAGCTAAACAAGTTGCGCGTAAGAGGGTCGATTTCCCACCCATATTTGGCCCGGTTAACAGCAATGCGCCAGGAATATGACTATTTCCTTCTCCTCCAAGACAGATGTCATTTGGCACAGGCAATCCACCACTCTCACCAAGGGCATAAGGATGCCATACTCCTTTCATATGGAGCATTGGGCACACAGACTCCGTAATTGAGTTTCCAGATTTAGAATGAGGTATAATTACAGGTTTGGACATTGACCCATGAGCAAAATTTGAAGAAATAGCAAAGGATCTAAGTACATCAACACAGCTTATTGCATGTATCATTTGAGACCAATGAGTCGCCTTCTCGACAAACAACTCCATCAAGATTGAGAAGGTTTCAGCCTCCGAGTCTGTAAGATTATGGTCCTGGCATGACAAAGGAAAGGATGGTAATTATAGTATGACAGCCACATTATTTTGTAGAACGTACTGAAAAGGTTAAATGCAATTATGAAACCATCAAACTGAGGTAAGAGAGAGAGAGAGAGAGTATACATGATTTTCAGGTTTACATCTCTGAGGTTCAATTAGATATCAACAATCTAAATCAATAGCAAATAAGCATCCATCCACAACACAGAGTTTATGCATGATCTCAAGTAAAACACAAACATTATCGTTTTGAAAAGAACATAATCTAGTCTCTGCATGTTACACAGTTTCGAATGCAAAATTACATCTAAGATTGAGGTCAAACCTGGTGACCTGGGAATTCGCTATCTACTGCTGCTTCAAATTGTCGTAGGGATATATCAAGCCCCTCATTACCACTAAGCATAGGAAGGGATATAACTTTTGACAATAAAGAGGTGATGATTTCATGCTTTTGCAATTCCATAAGCATTTGTATCCCGTTTCGCAGGCCTCTCACTAGTGACCCAAACACTTTTACCTGTGGACGCACAAATGTTGTCTTTCATGATTCTGGGGATCTTTCTCTTATGTAAGTTTCAAAATATTAAATTAAACTGTCGCAATTGTCACAAAATGGACGGATGAAACTGATATATCGGGTTCTTATGTCAAAACATACAAATAGTTACGAATTTTTAATAACAGGTAAAGGAAAGCTATTGATGAACAATAAAATCAAAAGTTACCAGTTTTGTGTACATGCTATAACTTGCTTACACCTGACAATATACCACTCCAAAAGAAGGAAAGAGTTCTCCTAGTGATCTTAAAGAAAAATAATAATAATAATAATAAATTCTCTATCCAACATAGCAAAGAACAGAATAAAGACAAAGTAGTTGGCATGCTACTGAAAGTCATTTTGTTCCTTAAAAGCTCATCTGCAGCTGAAGTGCATCTAACTAATGGAAACATGTCGAAATAAAGACTTCTGTAATAGGGTCTTCCTCGGCTTTCAAATATTAACCAGTACAGGACATCTGAAACACATATACTCATAGATACAACTGAGACTAATCTGGTAACAGTAAATGGACAAGTTAGACTAATTTTGTCTCGAATAAGAATTTAACAACAGGTAAAGAGATAAGAAAAAACTTCTGGATGTCATTACACAGTAGAGAGAGAGAGAGAGAGACCGAAATAATGAATTTTTAACCGCCTCATGTAAATTGGAAACAACTTGGTCATACATGCTTCAAATACAACCGAGAACAGAAAAAAACTTACTCGCTGTTTCAATACTTTGTTGCCAATTGAAGGCAACAATAGCACGGAAGAAGACTGAAAACTAGACTTAACACGTCCTAGCAATCTTTCCAGATCTGGTAACTGACGAAGCGATTGGGAAATTTGTAGAATGATTTCGGGATTTTGCATTAGGCCCTCAACTACATCCAGCCTACTATTTATCTTTTCAACATCTTGAAGAGGATGGCATATCCAGTTCCTCAAAAGCCGCTTACCAGATGAAGTCACGCAATTATTGAGATAATTATACAGAGTGCCTATAACAATATTACACATTTATTTAACATGAGGAAACAAAGAGGCAGAGAGACAAAGAGAGATTGAATAAGCAACTAGCCTGATTGGCCACCATCAGCATTATTATTAAAAATCTCCAGATTTACTAGAGTCTGACCATCCATTCGAAGGAAACCTTTGAAGACTTCATAAGATAAGATATCTCCATTGCGAATGACATCATTTAGCTGAACAAAACAAACATAGAGTTTTCCAGTAAGCAGAGGAAATAATTCTCAACCTTAACACACATTTTAAAGTAGAGGTAAATATATTTACCATCAACCGTGATAGATGACCAATAAGCCCCCCTAGAGCAGGTAATGCAAGATCGTGATGCATAACACCATCAAGTATGTCATACCAAGTATCACACGACCCATTGAAGTATTTATTTGACTGAATAGTGTTTCTAACTTCCAAGGCTTCAGGGAAAGCATCAACTAGATTTAACTGGGATGCAGTTGATCCTACAGAAATTAATGGGAGTGCGTGTGAAGGCCCGTGGTAATGGAAATCCTTTGTCAATAGCTTGTACAAGACAGACCATAAAATGTTAAACTCAAAAGGTCAGGCAATCAAATTCACAAAAGATCGACATAATCAAACAGGAAGCAAGCACTACAGGAAGAATACATTTAGACGATCAATGTTCCATAGAAGAAGTGACTACTTCAATATATATCAGAAGAGACAATAACACACAACTTTCTTGCACCAGAGAGAGAAAAAAAAGGGAAAGTGAGGAAAGAGAAAACCAAGTAAGTACAAACAAAAAGATAATAGTGAATATGAAACCGGAAAATTAAAGAAAAAAAAATTTCTGACAATACGAATGTAAGTTTATGCCAGAAATACTGAAATAGCTAAAGCAAGCTACGAAAAACTTTGATTATGACAAGGAAATGGATTTTATATGCAATTAATGGTTACATGTAATCTGAATGATTTTCACAATTACACTCACCTGTCAATTCGTATTTCTTAAGGGACTTTTGCGCATCTTTAGACAGCCCTGTACGTATGAGGAGAAAGAGATTCATCTTGATCAACCATAACAGTAAAATTAAACAAACCAATATTCATGGCTACATTAATTGGTAAAAGAACATTTACCTTGGGTTTCATGAATGATTTCCTTTGGTGAGACCTATTCATATAAAAGCATGGCAAAAAAAAATTGCATCATGTTATGACAAGCTGCATATTCATAATAAATGAAACAAAAAATAAAAAATAAAAAATAGAAAATAAAAGAAAAAGATTTCACATACTTGCATTAGCAAAGCCTCCAACGAAGCACATGAAGCATCATCACTGATAGAACCAACCCAAAACTTCAAAGCAGCACAATCCACAAAAGCAAACCCAAATGCATTTGAACCATTTGCCTGTAGACCACCCTAGATGAAAAATAAAGCTACATCAGTGATTCACTCATGTGAGTTTTACACCAATAACTTATTGTTATGCCATGCATTTAAAATATCACATGTTTGTTCATATGTGATTTTACACCGTATCTAGAGCTTATTCATGCATTATTGGGGTATAAATTGCATTATTGTGCTTTAATTCTATATTTTGTTGGAAAGGTATAACGCGTGCTTGTTTTGTAATATTTTCACATTTTTGTACAGCTTTTGGCTATTGGAGGCACACGATGAGTACCTAAGACCCTTGGGATGATGAAAAATTGATGCCCGAATGAAAAAAATTGAAGAAACAAGTGAAATGAGCAAGGAGTGTAGTATAGATATGTGACATGGGCAGTGACACGAGCATTATGCCCATGTCAGAGGCTGTGTCACGTTAAATGAAAAATTGCGCATCTTGAGCTCTGATAGGAGCAGCGACACGGTATGTGGCACGAGCTGGATGGCCATGACGCTCGCACAGGGTGTTTTTTATTTCTTAAAAATAGAATAAGGTTTGGAGATGGTATAAAAGGCATAATTATCCTCTATTTTGAGATGGAGGAACGTGATACACAAGAGAGGGAGCCCTAGAACACACAATACAGGCAATTGGGAAGCAAAGAAGATCCAACTACGAATGAGACAAGGAGATCGAGAGATCAACGGGATTCCTAGTTTTTCTTTCTTTTGAACATTTATTTATCATGTTGATTTCCAATATGTCTATGTATTTGATTTCAAACAAGAGCGACTAGATTAGTTGATTCTACGACTTCGGAGTAGATTAATATGTTGGATTTTAGATGATTTATTTATAATTAATTATTTTTCTTTTGAACCTATTCAAATATTTTGTTCTTATTCCATGTTTATCACTTGGTCAATGCTTTTACAGTTTTACAACTTTGATAATATTGTTCATAATTTGAGAGATGAGCTCAATATTAGGTCTTTAATACTTGACACAATTTACTTGCTTGAATCGAGAGATTAGTAGGTGGTTGTGAGGATATTGGATCTTTTGTTCTATTTGGAGTTCAATGAAGATGCTAATATATGTGATTTAATCTACGGTTCTATCGATCTCGAGAGGGACGATAAGCTCACAAAGTGATCATCTCATAGGTATATGAATAAAGCATTTAGTTGTGATATTTCTGAAAGAACCTAACTGTTAATTGAAATCATAGTCTTAGAATACCTCATTCTCATATATTTCTCTTACGTGATTGTAGTTAATTCCTTGTTCTTGATTTATTTTCTTAAGATTATATTCTCTTATTTAGTTAATCCATCATATATTCGATCGTCTAAATAAAGTTGACACTATCATAATCTATAATCTAGTATGTTGATATATTAATTATTTGGTCTCTTGGGATACGACCTTTCTTGCTACATACTACGAGCGAAGCCGTACACTTGCGGTTGAGCTTTAAAAATATAGGCGAACAATGTTAAAGTTCAAAGGCAAATGGGGCAGATACAATAGAAGAAAGGCAGCAGGTTAAGTCAACCTCTTTTATGGCAAGAAGATGAACAGCATCAGGCCCAATATTTCCCTCTAATGTGGTAGCAGGTGTATGTACGTGAATCAACTTTCTCTGAATGACCTGAAAACCATCTTGCTGATTATTTTATGCCGCAGGCAATAACCTCGACAGTAACACGGCAGATAATAAGCAAACTTAAAAATTTATGGGAAACAGAAAATATTTGGATTAAAGAAATATAACACATAGAACAACACCAAAACCCCCAAATACGCATGCCCTGCTAAACCAGCTTGACCTCCACAGCTCTTTATAAAAAAATGCAACTCAAGAATAGAGGGAGTTGAATCATTCTGGAAAACATGGGTCCTCCGAAATACTAAATAATAGAAATTTTTCTTTTCAGATTAAAACTGAGATTTTGTTGCTTCCTAATACTTCAGATCTAAATTTAACATTAAACTGCCTCTCTCTTCTATGCACTATAAAGTATAAAGACATGAAAAGCTTGCTCATAACGATAGAAAACAGGTGGATTAAACAGGAGTATATTCCGGAAATCATGCTAACTTACAGATGAAGAGCCCCTGGATTTTGCTTGTTCTGATGTCTCCAATTGTTCCATACGACCAACCTTGTACCTTCCAGTTACGATGCGTAGAAAATAAATAGGCAATTTCAGACGTGTAATTTGGTAAAATGTAACTTTCAAAGAGAAACATTACTCGTTTTTTCTTTGAAAAATAATAAATGCAGGATGACAGAGTTCCTTCACTACCCACACCATGGATAAGATAATAAAGGAAATTCATATTAATTGAATATGTGAAAAGACCCTTAAGAAGATTCCACAGCATCAACTCATATCAAGAGAAGACCTCCAAGATTATGTCTTGACCTTGGATACTAAAGTAAACATTTTGGGAGAGCTTTAGGAGAGCACAGGCCAAGGCCACAGGACCATGCATGTCAAATTGTCTAAACAGGGCAGCCTACTTAATTTAGCTGAGGAAGTCGCAACAATGTAACAAATAATATTGTCAACAGCATTATCCGTTAATACAAGTTAATGCTTCCAATAAGCTGTAATTTCATAAAAATACCTACTCTTCGTTTTTAGGATCCGCAAGGGGGTGTGTCCTCCGATTCCCAACTTATTAAAGCCACACTTATAATGGGAGGCAATCTTATTAAATCAAGTGACTAGAATGCAGCCACTTGCAACTTCCTTGATACTTTATTTTTTTTTAACATCAAAATCTGATTTTGGTAGTATGATCTTCCTATCATTATCTGAAAATGGAATTCAGGATCACTCTTTTTAAGTAGGTCACTGTAAAAAATAATTAGTATCTTCAATTAAACGATTATCCTCTCAGGAAGACCTTTCACCAATGCTGATTGCCATAGATGTGACAGAAACCTCAATATTGATGCTAGTGTTGGATTTCTCCTTTCAGTAGAACAAAGTCTAAGTAAGGGTTTACCTCAATTAGACAGCATGATACATATTTTGTCCTGAAATTTATTGTGGACAAGTACTACCAACAATTATATGGTACTTTAATAGTTTATCTAGTATTATAATTGCTACAATCAAGACAGCCACAAAAATCATCTGGTGCATTGACCTTCCATGTAAAAAATCATGTGAAGCCGATTCATTGGATTGCTTTATTCAGGGAAAAAAAAAAAAGAAGGAAAGAAAATCTCCATGTACTCATGCCATCAAGCTATTCTTNCACCATATATGGTCACTAAATGTTATCTTATCATCAAGGCAGGCAGAAAACAACTATTCCTTTAAGAACTTTGCATACAATATACAAGGACTCCAAATAATCCTTCCTCAATGTGAAGTGGTTGGACAGAGTTTCCTGATTTCCTTACCCCTATACAGACATTAAAGGACTCCAAACAAAAGTTGCAAAGTTATTAAATGTTATACTAATTCATATGCTATTAATTCATACTTATACTTTATTTACAGAAGTCGAGCATTTAACAGGTCACTGATTCACTTGAAGTGAGTAAAGCAAACCAACCTATTATAAAGCCTAACTTGTCACACTGCTATGAAATCATGCATGAAGGTTTTCAAGAACTCTAAAGGGAAAATACTTTAGAATGACATTATAACTAAATGTAATGAAGTTATCTTTCTTATTTTACACAATAAGGTGTGGACAGGTAGGAAGATTCTTTAGAAGCTATATAAATCATTCGGGAAAAATTTATTTGAGTTGATATAAAATAATNAAAAAAAAAAAAAAAAGCATTTCAACTGCGCTGTTGCAAACTACACCAAAGAAAGAGAACCAAGTGATTTATAAAACATGAAAAAGGAATTGAGCTTAACACACATATGGTGCGTACTTCAATCTCTCATTTTTGCAATGATGCACTATTTCAAAGAGAAGTATAGCATATCCAGTTCATTCAAGAGGATAACTGTAAAGAGAAGCTATGAGCGAAAGTATCAAATTCCAGTTCTCGTTACCAACTAAGCAAAAATAGTGAGGTAAGTATCAAACACGGTTATCATTGGCGAATGGCAGAAAATGTCGACAGGCTAAAATCCCACATGTGGGATGTGGCTCCGCCATAACCCGCCATGCTTCACAAATTTAGCATGGGAGTTTGGCAGAAATCCGCTCTGCCATACCACGATGGCCACCATTTAATAACATTGGCATCGACGTCACAATTTATACACCAATTAAACTAGAATAAGTTTCCAAAGGTAGTAATGAAAAGGAAATTCCCATACCCACGAGCGATCAACTTCTGAACAGCATCATCAATCCCACTCTCAGATACACCAACCTGCAGAAAGAATTTATAACTTACATAGATTCAGCTTAGAAAATCAAAAGCAAACTTACATCTACAAAATCACACACAGATATAACATACACGTACGCATGTATCCATAAGCACAAAACAATTATTGGCTTTACCTGACGACACTTCCCCACACCACTTAGTGTTATCCTCCAGTCAAGTTCCTTGTGACCAATTTCAGCATCCAGTTCATAGAGTTCATAAAACTTTCCCTATAAATTAGTAACATCAGTATGCAGTAAACAAACACAGAGATGAGCAGAATAATTTTCTTATAAAAGGGACATCGATCATGCTACTTGAAAACACTAAGAGAAGGAAAGACAGCCATGGGATTACTCCACTCCATATAAGTCTTAAATTTATGTATCCTTATAACAGAAACTGTACAGAAGAATTATTGTAGCTCTTTTAGTTTACTTAAAAACAGTGAAAGATAATGAATCTGAAGTATTACTAAGAATCGCATTTTGTTTATTCTACATTATCCTAACGAGGTCCCAAGCACAAAAATAAGAAAACAAAAGGGCACAATACAATTTACAATGCCAATCACAAACTAGGCTGTGTGTTTGTTTATTCTATATTATCATAAAGTTGTCAATCACAAATACAATCAAGCAGAGCACAAAGGCAAATCAGAGACTAGGTTGTATGTCGACGAGTTCCATTCCAAGCCCCGCCTTTCAAGGTTTATACTAATAAAAAGGAATCATGTTTCTTAAACAATTGTCAGTGGAAACCACCATTATCCTTTGCAAATCTATTTATTTCAAACATTGAATTTCATTTTTCAACCCAAATGTAATTTCAGTGGAAACCACCATTATCCTCACACTTGCATAAAATCTTTTTCTCATTCATCACGCAAATGTAATTTCAAGTTCAAGATGAAAATCAATGAGCTCTCAAAATTTAATTATCAACACAGAAATTAAAGATAGGCTATAGGCTACGGCGACGTAACCATAAGAACTCCATGTAATCCTTTCTAAGATGAGAGGAAATACATTTCAAATGCAAGAGAACATCAAATCAAACTAAATCACACTAACCACTTTAAAAAAGAGAACCACATCCATATATTGACGTTTAACATCCCAATACTGCCTTTGGGATGCTGACATTTTTCTCAAAGCATCCGGAGGGATGTATAACATCCTTTTATCATAAAGAGGGTCTCCTGGTTTTCTTCCGTTGATATCTTTGATTCGAGATGGACGGAGCCATTCAAACTTGCTAATAGTTTCAGAGTCCTCTTGATTTTCCTTTAAAATCTCAGGAGCCTGCTGAAGCTTGGCTCTTTTCTTATAATCTGGTAAAGAAAAACTAGCTTTGTCCTCCAAATCTACATACTCCTCCTGGACTCTCTTCAACCTAGGAACAAGAGGTCGCATGCCTGGTGTATCTGGCCCAAGAATATTGTCCTGGATAGCAGTTTCCAGTGTACAGTCTTTGTCCCAATCAGCATTTTGCTCACTCAAATGCTTGGGGAGTGAACATCGGTTGCCAAAATCTTCTGATCCATCAAATTTCATTGAGAGCGGCCCTGAATCGAGAGTATCTTTCATGCTGGACCTGCATGCCACAGCCAATAAGATAAACTTTCTACTCCAGCACAAACTAGTGCAGAATACATCACTCAACACATATGAAAACCCATTCAAGAAAACTATGCATTAACTAAAAAAATGTTACTGCAATTTTTACATAAATTTCCGTAACTGCATTTGTCAATAAGCAAACACCTGTATGGAATTTATTTGAACACTGAAACTGTTTCCATATATGATAGTTTTTCCTTCTTATTATTTCTAGCAAAGTGGATGTCTCAAGGTACCGAAGGATTAGGAATTATAGGTCCCTTCTTTTTGCACACTTGCATCTAAAACAAATTCTACCTTAAGGTAAGACTTATTACTACCATTTCAAATAAACTCACTAGTTTTCCTTCTCTTAGTAACATAACCAAAACTAGATTTGTCTTTATCACCTAACAAAATAGAGTGTATTAGAATCTTCTTGTGGTTCCCCAATGCCTTGAGCTTCTCCAGAGATGAACTTAGAGAAACAAAATTGAATAAATCTCAGACTAAATTCAGTGATTGTTCTAACCTTCCCATCCAGATATACATCCATCAATACAAAGTTTCTAACCTTAACTATACCCATAACTTCACACATAATTTAACAAGACCTTGAATTAGAAAGTCCAAACATTTTAGTGAAAATTTCCCTTTACATGACCTCATCACTCTACTGCATAGACAAACTACCAGCAGAACCATCAAACATCCAAAAAGAGCAAAATAAAATCAAAAATCGAATTGAAATATACTAGGTGCCTTTATTTGTCTATCTAAAGTTTCGCCAAATGTAAAATCAAGAGAGTACAGCAACGGCTAAGCAATATCTTAACCCTTCTAAGATATGAAACCACACAATTCCACCACAAGAAGCACCTGGTGTCAGATGACGAACTCTCAACGGTGTCCAGTTTAGTAAACTTGTGTTTGATGCTGGAGAAGACCGAAGGGCGGCTGTCGGGAAATATCCGACGTGGTACCTTCTCCGCTGGAGTGTCGATTCCTTTGATTTCTTCATCGGCGTCGAGTGCAATGGGTTTGCCGACGCTGGAGGGTTCGGGCTTCTTGAGGAATGACAGTATTGACTTCTGTCGCTGCATTTTGTGTGGTGGGGTTGGAGGAGATACAGAGATTCGGGGTTATTTAGGACGAAGGGGAATTTGGCGCCAAAATGAGCGCGCAGTGACCAGGTTTCTGGACTTTAGGGTATATTTGGTTCAAGGAAAACGGAGGGAAGGGATTTTAATAGGGAAAAGGAAATGAGGAATTTTAATAGAGGGGAGAGAGAAAAAGGAAAGGTGATGTTTGGAAGGATTTTGTTAGAAGGAAGTTGGAGGAAAATGGTAAACTCTATTCGGTAAGAAAAAGAAAATGGAGGAAAAATAATGATAGAATGACAAGTATATCTTTAATGATGTTAAAAATAAAACTTAAAATATTATATATAATAAAGATAAAATTATAATTGTATGTATTAAAATTTTCCTTCATCTCCAAATTCCCCTATTTTGTGGAGGGGAGGAAAAATGGAGAAGAGGAGATTTTAGGTTAAAATTTTCCCTCTTCTCCTATCTAATTTTTTGAAGAATTATAGGGAGTGGTCAGATTGTTTTCTTATGGAGTCATTCTTCAATTAATGTATTGACACATATTCAAAGTGTATTTATTGTAGGACACGTGTTAAATAAGTATGGATGGCTTCATAAGTGGTGCCATTCATGACTTTATAGCAAAACTGCTAAATTTTCCAACCAAATAAAAGAAAAAAAAAACCTCTTTCCTCCCCTCCCATCCTTTTTTCCCCTACCAAACAATACTTTAGGGCTGAATGGCTATGGAAGGGAAAAATGACACTGCCCATCTATTTTATTTTTTTTTACTATTTTAACATAATGGGTTCATTATTATACAATTACACGACTTGTATGACTTTAATGACCTTTTTTTAAGGATAATGCTTGAGGTACATACACTCTTACATAACCATGTACATAATGCTAGGTGAGGCCTTATTTTAAAATAAATTTCTCCTTTAAGAAAACAAAAATGTTCCACAATTAAATTAAGCATCTTCTCTCTCTCTCCACTTCACTTCCGACTCTCATCCTCAATGATAAATAAGAAGAATATAATCGACGAGAATTGAAATCTTGGTAAGTTTTTCGACATTTTTGTTTTATTAGGTTTTGACATTTTCTTCGGAGAGGATGCGGCCATGGAGGGCGTGGGCTAGGATTAGCAAATCTCCGACCTTCATTCTATCATCTGTAGTCGATTCTGAAAGGTTCGTTGAAAAGTGCTTCGCCGCTCACGGGGTACCTGGAGCTGTACAAATCCAGAACGGATTCGGATTTCGGGTCGGGTAGTACGACTATTCGGATCAGCCCGAAATACTCGGTAGAGCTGCAGATGCTGTTTTTGTCCATACAACAGCCATGTTTGACTGTTGTTGAGCTTGATTTTGTATTTCGTGAGGTCGGCGTTAAGAATTAGAGCTCGAATTGTATGGTTTGTCGAAATCGAGAGCTGGACCTTGTGCCTGATCTTGACATTCTATTTCAATTAATATTTTTTTCTTTATTAATTTTCTCACAATCAATCCTATTTTTTTTCTTTATAAATTTTCTATATTTTTCAACAGTCATGGATGACGATGATCAAGTTCGATATTTCTCAACAGACATGGATGATGATGATCAAGTTAACAGAGATGGTGACATATCAAATGGTAATACATGAATTCAAAATTTTCTTGTCTTAAAAATTCACTTTGATTAAAAAAACTTTGATTCTATAATACGAATGATATAATCTAAATATTTGCAGGAACTATGGTTAAATCTTCTGAGCTTACAGGTGATCATAGTGTGATGGAGGAAATGCTAACAACTGAAAATGAAAATCAGGAAATTCCAGAAGTCGGCATGAAATTTGCTAACGAAAATGAGGTGTTTCAGTACTACAAGAGATATGCTTATCGAACGGGTTTTCCTATTAGAAAAAGAAATTCAACAAAAGGTGATGATGGAATCGTACGGTATATGACATATACTTGTAGTCGAGAAGGTCGACGAAGCTATAAGAGCAGTACATCTCTGAATCTGCTACCGACTAGTCAAACGGGTTGTAAAGCAAGGTTGACCGCTTGTTCTGATGCTTGTGGAGTATGGCGTATAAATGTTGTTCATTTAGAGCATAACCATAAGACAAGCCCATCCAAATCTAGGTTGTATAAATGCAATCGACAAGTAAGCAACTGGATCAAAAGACAACTTGAAGTAAATGATATAGCAGGAATACCTATTCATAAAAGCTATAATGCAGCCGTAGTGGAGGTCGGTGGATTCGAGAATATGACATGTGTCGAAAAAGATTGTCGAAATTTTATTGATAAAGTTCGGCGATTGAGACTTGGCGAAGGAGATGCAGTGGCAATATCATCTTACTTCTCAAAAATGTAAGCATGTAGTCCTAGATTTTATTTTTCTATGGATTTAGATGAAAAGTGTCGCTTGAAAAATGTATTTTGGGCAGATAATCTGTGTCGAGAAGCGTATAAGGAATTTGGTGATGTTATCACCTTTGACACCACGTACCTCACGAATAAGTTCTATATGCCTTTTCGCTCCTTTTGTAGGGGTTAATCACCATGGACAATAAACTTTATTCGGATGTGCTTTAGTGTCGAATGAAGATACAAATACGTTTGTTTGGGTGTTTCGGACATGGCTTGAGTGTATGCATGGCCTTGTTCCCAATGGCATTATTACCGATCAAAATCGAGCTATGCAAAATGCCATCCAAATTGTTTTTCCTGGAACAAGGCATAGATGGTGTTTGTGGCACATTTTGAAAAAATTTCCTGAGAAGCTCGGCTATCATAGCGAAAAGAGAACTGCACGTTATGCTATAACTCGGTTAGTTTATGATACATTAGATTGCAATGAATTTGAGGTAGGGTGGTCGAATATGGTTCAACAATTTGGATTGCAAGATCATGCTTGGTTGACAGGTCTTTATAATGAAAGAAGTCGTTGGGTACCATGTTATTTGAAAGACACATTTTGGGCAGCCATGTCAACTACCCAACGAAGTGAAAGGATGAATGCTTTCTTTGATGGATATGTGCATTCAAAAACATGTCTTAAGCTTTTCGTAGAGCAATACAAGCGTGCATTGAGAAGTAAGGTTGAAAAAGAATTTCAAGCTGATTTTAAATGATTTTCGCAAATGATTCCTTTCGCTACAAAGTATGATATGGAAAGGCAATTCCAAGAGGTATATACACTTGCAAAATTTAAGGAGTTCCAACAAGAATTTACTGGAAAGGTTTATTGTGATATTCTATCTGTGGTAGATTTTTGTGGGACCATAAAGTATACAATTCATGAATATATCATATGCGATGAAGGATTAAAGAAAAAAATCTTCACAGTTTCTTTTAAAAAAGATATATGTGAGATTGAGTGCAGCTGTCACTTGTTTGAGTTTCGGGGCATTATATGCCGACACGCAATATCTGTTTTAATTAGGAATAATGTTAGCAAGCTGCCACATAAGTACGTCTTGAGAAGATGGAGGCGAGATGTCAGCAGTCCATATGTGCGGATTGCAAGCATGTACGATGGTATGGCTAGTACTGTTGAACAGTTAAGATATGAGAAATTATGTGCTGCTTTTACTAAGATGGCAAACTTGGTAGCTGAGAATGAAGAGCGGTCAAATCAACTGTTGGAATAGATTGATTGCCGAATGGATGAACTTGCTAAAGCAAAATATAATACCATGGGCACACGTGGAAATGAATTGGGTAACTCTGAAAATATAAGAATTTTGGATCCACCATGTACAAAAAGTAAAGGTACGCCAAAAAAGCTTCGCAAGAAAAGTCCTTTAGAGACTAGTTCTAAGAAATCAAAGAATTGTAAGGTGATGTGTATAGCTTTTCATTAATTTTTATTTTCCGTTATGGTTTGAGTTTTTTATAGATATATTTTTTTTAATTAAAATGGATCATTACAGGTACTTAAAAAAAGCCACAATGTATGTTGATGCTTTTCAAGCACAAGGATTTGGGATGCAATGGAGCAATGAATGGGGAGAAAGAGAGCAATAAATTGGAGTTGTTTTGAAGTTTGCTTGTAATAGCTGGTTAGTTTCATGGTTTGCTGTTGTTGGGGTTTTTGGGGTTTGTGTTGTTGGCTTTGCTTTGGAACGTNTTCTAGTGTTTTGATGGAGAGGGAATCTCCTTATTTCCACAAGTTTCCTAGCTATTTTGTTGTAATAGTTAGGGGAACTGCATTCTACACCTAATTCAGTGGACTGATTCTATGTTGGTTAGCGTCTGTTGCTGCATCTTGCTATAGAAGTAATATTTATGTGGCATCTAGCTTCTACAATTCATTCAAGTAGCTTAGGCTGCTTTTTTCTTCAATAATTTACTGGTGAAGGATGTCAAATTCTAGAATGTTTATTGTACCACCCGAAGCCCCACAAGCAGCATTTCAAGTTACATTTTTCTACCTTGAAGTTTGATGTCAGTTATACCAGTTCCCTTTCTATTTGGAATTGTATCAACAAATAAAAAGTTGGTCATTTGGAATTTACAAGACTTACATAGTATTTTTCCAGTAGTAGGCACATTTTATTTTCACATGTTAGTTTTTTTTATCAAAAAACAGATATCCCCACTAGTTTAATGTTTCCTCTCAAGGTTGTAAAATGAAATAATGCAATTATGTATTGTTTGTAAATGAACACATGTAAAATCATGTACATGCAAAGATGATTTTCTATAGCCAGTCACCCACAACAAATCCTATCCTATCTTATCTTCAGTTTTGATCAGGATGGCACATGAAAAATCCATATTCAGAACCCCATTAAACATCCTCATAAACGCCACCAATCAAGTTAAATTAAGCCATCACAGATACTCAAATACTCAAATGATATTAAATTCCAATAATCAAATTCATCTTACACAGCAACAACAATATGAAAGGTATACATAACACCAGTAAGCCACCTTCATTAAACAATAGCTAATCCAACACAACACAATCCAAAGACTTAGACTCAAAAGACACAGACACATACGAGAGACCTCCACCCTTCTTCCAGAACTTCGTCCTCGAAGACGGTGACCAGTCGGAATACTTCCACCCGTACTCGTTCAGTCGTCCCGGTCCAAGCTCACCTCGATTTCCCCTCGAACAACCTCAAGTTCTACCTCGTCCGCGGCAGCCCTTTCGTGACCTGCAAAATCAGGCGCAAGGTCCCGCTATCAATTTCGACAAACCACACGATTCGAGCCCTAATCCCTAACACCGACCTCACGAGTATTTCGGGCTTCCGAATAGCCGTACTACCCGACCCGAAATCCGATCCGTTCTGAATTTGTACAGCTCCAGGTATATCGTCGATGATAAAACAAAAATGTCAAAACCTAATAAAACAAAAATGTCAAAAAACTTACCAAGATTTTGATTCTCGTCAATGATATTCTTCTCATTTATCAGAGAAAGAGTTGCTTAATATTTGAGAGAGAG